ACTAACGCGCTGTGAGCAAAATTGCAGAGCGTTGTTGATGTTCTTTGCGTGTAAGTTACCATTGTAACTGCAGTTAATACTTCTATAAGGAATGAAAGTTTTCTTCTAAATGAGGGTGGCTCCATTCATACAGGACAGTTTCTGTCAGGTAACCTAGGTACCCAGTAGTGATAACAGCAAGGACAGTGATGTTTTCAGGGTGCTTGCTTGTGTTCAGCTGTTCTAATAAGCACCTTACAGGTTATTTACTCACATATTCCTCCCAACACCCCTGTCAGGTAGCTCACAGAATTATCACAGTTTTTCAGTTGAGGAAAATGAGGCACAGAGAAGTTAAGTGTCTTCCCTGAGATTGTACAGTGAGTACCCAGGGAAGCCTGGATTGGAACTTAGGATCTAATTTGAGTCCAAATCCCAAGCTCTTTACCTCTAAGCCTCTCATGGTTAACAGGATATAGCCACACATCACTGATATTTTTACCCAGCATTTATCAATATTATGTTGATATATCACTGATGAAGGTTGGCATTCCACTTTCTCATCTCAAATGGTCACAGGCTCAGGTCATGGTCAGGGTCAGAGGTATGGCAGGTATTGATGATTAAGACACTTCTGGTCAGTAGAGGGTGAGGGGTAATCTCTCCCTCCTGCTTTTGTTGGGAGACTTGGATGAGGAAGCCCAGGACATAAGCGCCCAGCGTGGAATCATAGCCCAGCAAACATGTCTCACAACTTCATTGAATCTGGCCATAGTCTGGCCCTGAGCCTCCTGAAAGCCAGGGTGGGAATGATGGCAGAAGGCAGCAGTGAACAGCGCCATTCCCAATGCTCAGGAAGTTGCTGTTTACCCTCCCTGCCCTGATACCTTCTGCCCTGCCTGCAGGAAGACACGTCACGTCAACATCTTGCTGTTCATGGGCTTCATGACCCGGCCGGGATTTGCTATCATCACACAGTGGTGCGAGGGCTCCAGTCTCTACCACCACCTGCACGTGGCCGACACACGCTTCGACATGGTCCAGCTCATTGATGTGGCCCGGCAGACTGCCCAGGGCATGGAGTGAGCGTCCTGGCCCGGGGACTAGGGAGGGGGCTGGGGGATCTGGGGGTGGGGAGATGAGGTAGCCCCCAGACAGTCTGACACCTGCTTGTACCCCAACAGCTACCTCCATGCCAAGAACATCATCCACCGAGATCTCAAGTCTAACAGTATCTACATGTCCCTCTCTGAGGGCTGGGCTTGGGTGGGGGGCATCAAACAGGATGAGGGCTTAGAGGGATGGCTCTTGTGGGAGGCTTTCTGGGGGCAAACAGGGAGGGGCACATGTGGCATTTCCCTTTGCCAGGTGCCAGAGCTGTGGCTGGTGAGGGGCCTTTAATGGGAGTCTCTTGGTCAGGAGTCAGGGTTTTGACTGGTTCAGGTGCTGTTCTTCGGGACTCTGGTCAGGGTCTGAGGAGCGGCAGCTGTGGAGGGCGTTAGGGGGAGCTCCTGACCAGTGTCACAGGCATGGTGAGTGTGGGTGCCATTAGAGGAGTTTCCTAGTCAGGAGTCACAGGAGGGCCAAGTGTAGGGGGCATTCATTGGAGCTCCCCACCCAAGTCAAGGTTGTGGCTAGTTTGTGTGACATTGCGGGGCTTCTGGTCAGGGTTAGAGGCATGACTGGCGTGGAGGCGTCAACGAGAGCCTCCCAGTCAGGGCAAGAAGCCTGGCTATTGGGAGTCCCTGTAGTGGCCCTTGACCCTGGCGGACATCTTCCTACACGAGGGGCTCACGGTGAAGATCGGGGACTTCGGCCTGGCCACAGTGAAGACGCGGTGGAGTGGGGCCCAGCCTTTGGAGCAGCCCTCGGGCTCTGTGCTATGGATGGTGAGTTGGGCCAGGCTGGACTGGGGGCATATAGGGACATGGGCTGCTGGGTTAGGATGTGGGAGGCCGAGTGGGGCTGGGGATGCCTGCACCCCGAGGTGTGGGTGTCTGGACTGCTTATGCTTCCCCCCGTGTGGGTGGCTCTGAGTTACACCCAGTGTGGCTGGTGGGCCCTGGGCCTATGGGCCAGTCATTTGCTGACCTCCACATTCCTCCTGCCCGGTCCGGCCTATTGAAGGCAGCTGAGGTGATCCGTATGCAGGACCCGAACCCCTACAGCTTCCAGTCGGATGTCTACGCCTATGGGGTTGTGCTCTACGAGCTCATGACCGGCTCGCTGCCTTACAGCCACATTGGCAGCCGTGACCAGGTGAGCCCCATGCCTTACACCTGCTATCTCCCAGGCCAAGGGATCCCCTTAGCCTCCAAACCTCAGATCTCCACCTTTGCATAGACCAAGAACACCACACTTCCCCCAGAAACCCCAAGTTTTCTGAGCTGAGGATTCCCAGATTCCTCTGGGTCTTCCATACCCAGAATTCCCTCCTTCACCCACATCTACTCCTCTGGGTCCTCAAAGTCCAGAATCTCCTGGATCCCTAGACACACACAGTCCTCTGGCCTGGTTACTCAAACTCTCCAAAGTCCCCAAAGCCCAGAATCCCATTTCTCCCAGAAACAATCCCTTTGTACTTCTGGAATCCTCACAGATACCTACAACCATTCAGGCCTTAGGTATCTGTCAGACTTCAGGGCCCTTGCATCCACAGTACTCTAGGCCCCAGACATTTCTCCAGGTTCAAGGCCTGGGATCTCCCAGACCCTCAGAAACCCAGGATCCTGTAGGCTTCACGTACCAATAGTCTTTGGGTCTTGAGCACTCACAGTCGTACAGACCACGTGGACCCATAGTCCTGTAGGCCCCAGACCTCTACAGAAATACAGACTACTGAGAGCTAGAATCCTTTAGCTTCCTCCAGACCCAGAACTTCATGTTTCCCCCAGACTCAGTACTTTCTAGGCCCCTAAGCCCCCTAGAAACCTGTGGACCCATAATCATCTGGGCCCTGGACACCTACAGTCCTTGACTTCCCCCAAGCTTAAATCCTTCTGTTTTGTAAGCAGAGAATCCTTCTAAGTCCTCAGAGACCCAGAATCTTTAGATCCACAAGATACCCACAATCTTCTGGGCTCCAATACCCAGAATACCCCAGTTCTCCTAAAAGGAGCCCTCCAGGTCCCTCAAGACCCAGAATTCCCTGGGCTTCCCAGCCCAGACCCCCAGATCACCCCATTCCTGTCCCCCCTCCCAGATTATCTTTATGGTGGGCCGTGGCTATCTGTCCCCGGACCTCAGCAAAATCTCCAGCAACTGCCCCAAGGCCATGAGGCGCCTGCTGTCTGACTGCCTCAAGTTCCAGCGGGAGGAGCGGCCCCTCTTCCCCCAGGTGGGCCGAGGAGGAGGGCTGGACACCCTGGGGAGGGAGCCTCTGAGGAGAAGGACTCTGAGGTGTGAATGTGAACTGTGTTGTGTTCAAGGCTCCGAGGTGTACAATGTGTGTGAGTGTGTGCTTCCCCATTAGGCTGGGGTCTGGGGGTGTCGGGGTGCCCACGCGGATCTGGACACCCTTCCTCACCCGCCCCTGCCCCCAGATCCTGGCCACGATTGAGCTGCTGCAGCGGTCACTCCCCAAGATTGAGCGGAGTGCCTCCGAACCCTCCTTGCACCGTACCCAGGCTGATGAGTTGCCTGCCTGCCTACTCAGCGCAGCCCGCCTTGTGCCTTAGGTCCCACCCCCAGCCACCAGGGAGCCAATCTCAACCTGCCACGCCAAGGAGCCCTGCCCACCAACCAATCAATGTCTGTCTCTGCCCCGTTACTGCCTCAGGATCCCCCATCCCTGCCCTGGGAGATGAGGGGGTGCCCATGTACTTTTCAAGTTCCTCTGGAATTGGGGGACCCTCGAAGACCGAGACCCCTGCCTCCTCCATAATTCGGTTTCCTCTTGGCTTTGGCGATACTTCCAAATTCGGGAGCTCCTCCATCTCCAACGGCTGGGATTTGTGGCAGGGATTCCACTCAGAACCTCTCTGGAATTTGTGCCTGATGTGCCTTCCACTGGATTTTGGGGTCCCCAGCACCCCGTGTGGATTTGGGGGGTCCCCTCTGTCTCCCACCATTCAAGGACTCCCCTCTTTCTTCACCAAGAAGCACAGAATTCTGCTGGGCCTTTGCTTGTTTATTTTTCTTCCCGACTCTTCTCATGGGGTTCAGAGCCGCTGAGGGGTGAGGGTGAGTCCAGGCAAGGGTTGGAGGTTGGGGGGAGGTGCGGACCACACAAACAGCGCCACTGCACGCATCACCACAGGCGGCACGATGAACGAGGACCACATATGCCAAGCACGGCACGAGAGGAGGCCACGTCAGTCACAGACACAGACATCACTGCAAAGGTGGGGAAGTGGGGGACCACTGGCCTGTGTGCAAAGGATTCTGGGAGGATGGGTGGAGTTTGCATATTTAAGACAGCTGTCAGAGGCAGGAGAGTGGGGCAGGGGTCCCTGGGGAACTGAGGGGTCCTAGCAGTGGGAGGAGCTCCCAGTGTGTTGAGTGGGGTTGGTTGGGGGGGGGTGAAGGGAAATCCTTGGGGAGCTGGGTGAGGGCAGTTGAAGAGGTGGATCTCCAGAGATGGGAGATCCATAGAAAGGGTCTCAAAGGTAGGGGTTTCTTAAGGATTTGGGAAATTTTGATGGGGAACAAGGTGTGCTTGAGAGCTCTGGTACCAGGAGTGGGGTTTTCCAGGAATTTCAGGGCTCCGGGAGGGGTTGCCTGGTGTTTGGGAGAGCTTCCAGAAAGGAAAATGCACTCTGAGGGCACCAGGAGTGGAGGTCTTCAGGGATTTGGAGGTTCTAGAACTGAGAAGTAGGTCTCAGTTTTTGAAAGGACTTGGGAATTCTAAACATGAGAACTGGATTTAGGACCGGGAGTGAGGTTTCCCCAGGGACTTGGGCATTCTGAGGAGTGAGAAGAGGGATCTTGGCGATCCAGGAGAGGGCTTCTCAAGGGATGAGATTCCAAAAGTGAGAAATAGATTCAGGGCCCAGACAGGGGTTGCCCAGGGATTTGGGGGCTCTCAGGGTGGGGTGTCAGTCGGAGAAGAGGCTGGCGAAAGACTTCCTCAGGCTGCGGATGGTCTCAGCTTTCACCTCGTCCTGGCTAAGGCTGGGCCTGGGCGGGGCTGGCTCTGGAAGGTTGAAGGCATTGGTCAGAGACTGGGATTTGCTAGAGAGAAACAAGGTGGAGGCGTGGGAGGAAGGGGGGAGAGGAAGGGAGGAGGGGGAGAGAAACACAACGTTACCCCAGGCCCGGCCCCAGCCCTGCCCCTCTGGTCCTGGGGCTGTGCCTGTGACCCTCCCACCCCCCAGCACGGGCCTGGACCCTGGAGGGATTCTCAGGACGAATGGAGGAGCCCTGGGCCAGGCTGGGAGGACTTGGATCCAAGGTGAAGAAGCCTGGGATTGATGGGAAGAGTTCTGGGCTGAATCTTCTCTTATAATTCTAGCCTAGATTGGGAGGAGTTTGATATAAAGGTGACGATGGGCAGGGAGGTTTCCAGTGTAAGGGTGAGGAGTCCAGAAAAGGGGGTGGTGGTGCTTGGACCAAGGACAGGCTGGAAGGGGCAAATCTAAGGGGGAGCAGTTGGGTGGGGCAGGACAGACTTCTGAGCTAAGAGAGGAGGTCTGGAATGGACCAGAAGAGGCAGAGAGGATGGTGTGATTTGGGAGGAGACTGAGATGGGCTAGAAGGGAGCCTAGACTGTAGGAAAAGCATGAGGACGACTGGGAAGAGTGAAGTAACATAGGAGGACTGTGGATTGGGCCGGGAGGAGTTTGTGGGTTCGGCTGGGGGGAATCAGGTGGGGCACAAGGAGGATGGGTTTGGCAGGGAAGTACTGAAGGAGGGTCAGCAAGGCGCCTGGGGTGGGCCGAGAGGAGCTGGGCTGGGGGTCTTTCCCAGGGCCTACGGGGAGGATTCTGCACTTCAGAGGGGGTTTCTCTGGGATGGAGGGCAGGAGCCTCTGTGAACTGGGAGGGGTCTGGCCCAGACTGGAACTGGAGAGAGAGCTCTCAGGAGCCGTGTACAGGACCTGGGTCTGAGGAGCCTGGGAGCTGGGGCTGCCCTCCAGGTGCAGGAGCGCATTCTGTGAGCAGCAAGGCGAGGGCTGCTGTGGGGTCCCCTTACTTGAGCTGGGGGTGTGGGGGTCCCCCGGCAGCGGCAGTGGCAGGTGGTGGCACATCCTGGCTGGGTTTCTGGGCCAGTTGTGGCTTGGTGGGACGTCCAGCAGGGCCGGAGGCACTGGGTCGCGGCTGCTGCGTGGTGGGTGGCCCAGTGCGGGGCATGGGACCCGCCTGGCTGGCCTGGCGTGTGGGGCCGGCAGGGCCTGGGGGCTTCTGGGGTGGGCCCTGGCGCTGCTGACCACCCGGTGGAGCCCCTGAGGCCTTTGGCGGAGCCTGACCAGAGGCCGATGTCTGACGAGTAGCCTGTGGGGGGCCTGCCTGGCGCTGGGGAGAGGGGGAGGCAGGTGGACGGGCTGCTGGAGGTGCCCCGGGGCCTCCCGCCACTGGCCGGGATTGGCGGCCTTGACCCTGGGGCAGCGGTGTGGCCTGGGACGCAGGCTGCTGGGGCGCTGATGTGGGACTCGGAAGGCGCTGGGGCAGGGGGCTGCCAGCTGGGGGTCCAAGGCCCGAAAGGTGCTGTTGGCCCTGCGGGGTCGGGCGCTGCTGCAACGGGGGTCCCTGGCGTTGGGGGCCTGGGCCCGGCTGTGGAGGGCCGCCTGAGGGACAGAGAGAAAGTGCACACGTGAGAGCAAGCAAGTGAGAGGTGGGGGGCTGCCGGCGGGGTCGGGGCCGAGGAAGCTGGCCCCTCACTTACCCTGTGGCGGGGGTCGTTGCTGAGCTGGGGGCCCCGCGGGCTGCTGGGATGTCTGGCGGCCCAAGGGCAGGGCCCCTGGGGACGGAGTCTGCGGCAGAGGAGTGGAGCAGGAGAGGTTAAAAATAGTTACCAGCCGGTGGAGCATCAGCCAATGAGAATGACATGGGTTCCCTGTGTGCTGGGTGTTGCCGCATTTGTGGCTGAGCTGAGGGGATGGCAGGTTGTGGGGTGCGGGACTCATTCCCAGGGGAGGGGTCAGGAGGCACTCAGGGAAGTCACGGTAGCAGCTATTTATCATTTTTTAAAATAGTTGGTAACTGCTGCGACACGGGTGCGTCATGGCGATGCCCTTAGCCTTCTGATTATCAGCTCTGTGACACAGTATGACCAAGGGCTGGCCTGCCCACCACTAGCCTCCAAGGGCCAGAGCCAGGGGCCTGACCTGGCTGTGGGAGCCCCTGCCGGGAGAGGCATCCCGCTGCCGCTGCCGGGGCAGGACCTGGGCCATCTTGTTGACCACAAGCTCTACGATGAGTTGCTTGTCTTCATCCTGGTGGTCACCGATGAGCGGCATGGAGGAGCCCACCACCTGGGGGAGGAGAAGGGATCCAGTGAGGAGAGAAGCAGGAAGTGCACGGGAGGGTGACGATGACGAAGTGCTGTAAGTTGGGAAAAGGTATGACTGGCGGCTGCCCAGGAAACCAGCTTCAGTATGAGAAGCACCTATTACGCAGTGTGGGGAAGGCTTGTCTTTTACAAGATACCTTACAGCTTAGGACATACTAGCAGGGGTGAGCTAATGAAGGCCTACCAGCCAAATCCGGCCCAGCACCTGTTTCTGTGCAGCCCCAGGCCCTGGAGCTAAGGATGGGTTTTACATTTTTTAATGATTGAAAAAAAAATCAAAAGATTTCATGACGTGAAAATTATATGAAATTTAAATTTCATTGTCCATAAACCAAGTTTCATGGGAACACAGCCACCCTTACTTTCTTGCCATATTGTCTGTGGCTGCTCTTGCAGATTGAGGAGCTGCAGTAGAGACTGTATGGCCCACAAAGCCTAAAATACGCACCGTCTGGCCTCGACAGAAAACGTTTGCCAATCCCTGCTTTATAGTTTGCTAGGTGCTCTGTGTTTTACAAAGAACTCTGTGGTTTACGTGGTACTTTACAGTTTACAAAGCTCCTTGCCCTTTACAAAGGACTGTTACATATATGGTGTGTTTAGACTTTGGAAAGTGCTTTGCAAAGGGCACCACTGTTTACAAGATGCTTTACCATGTATAAAGTGCTACCATTTACCATGCACTCAGAAGTTTTAAGGTATTTTACAGTTTGCAAATTGCTTTACTGTTTACCGGGGACACTGCTGCTTATAAAGAGCTTTAGAATTTTGAAAGCGCTTTGCTTCAATAACGAGGATTTCCCAGTTTACAGAGCTCCTCTTTAAAATAATTTTATAAAGTACTTTGCTGTTCACCAAGCAGTACCTTCCTAAGGTACTTTACAGTTTACAGAATGCTTTAGTATCAACCGCCACTCTCTATAAAGTTCTTTATAGCTTACAAAGTACTTTGCTGTTGGCCAAGTACAAATTCACAGAACACTTTAAAGATTACTAAGTGCTTGGTCATTCACCAGAGTGTCTCAGTTCACAGAGGACGTTATACCTTAACAAGTGTTTTGCCCTTCACTAAAGATGTCCAAGTTCACAGAGCAGTTTAGAATTTAGTAAGTATTTTGCCATTTGCCAGGGATGTCCTGGTTCACAAGGCACTTTACAGTTTTACGTTTTGCCATTCGCTGAGGGCTTTCTAGGCCCTGGCGTGCTTCACAGTGTTGCTGCCCTGCACCTGCTCCCCCCTCTGTGCCCCCACAAAATTCTGGGGTGCTCCTACCTCAATGATGTGATCCCTTCCATCCTTGCCATGCAGTGCTTCCACTGCGCAGATGTCCAGTCCCCCAAAGATCTCTGAGCACGTGTCCACCCACAGCTTGTACCTGCCAAGACACAAGGCAAGGCAGCCCGTCAGTGCCTGGTCTGGGCGGCCACACTTCTACCCCCCACCCCCGAGTTCAGGCCGCCCACCTGTCAGACATGGCAATCTGCTCAAGCATCGCAGAGCCGGTGTTGGTCTTCCAGTTTCCTGACACTGACGTCCTCCTGGAGAGTAAGAGGAGACAGGAGAGAGGCTTGGGGGGCCTGGGCTGCACAAGGCAGGGCAGGGGACCCCTACCCAGGCCTTGGTCTCCTTACGCACATGTAGGCCTTGTAGTTCTGCCCAATCTTCTGGACGCGCACATCGTATTTGGCATCAATGAAGGGCTCGGCAGTGGCATATGTCTTGGTCAGTGCCACGACACTTGCGATGTCCTGGAAGTCGTGCTGGTTGTCCACCTTGACCTGTGGGAGTGGGGTGGGGAGCAGGGCCTGGTCAGGAGGGGCGGCAGTTGGGGTGCCTTAGGGCAAATGACACAGGTGAGGTGAGTGCACAGAAATTCGGTGGACACCCCAAGGCACTCAAGCATGCATTAATTCTGGGTCTCCTGGTTTTTACATGTACACACAGACACCAAATTGGGTGTCTACAACTCTGTGAACACACAAAACCCGATTTTTAGACTTGTTTACTTTAAATGGTTAAGTTGTATGGTATGTGAATTATATCTCAATAAAGCTGTGGGAAAAATTGTGTGTATATACAGTATATGCATGTGGGCACCCATACAAAATCAATTGTACACACAATATATAAACATACAGAAGCATGGACACACTCAAACATACAAATTACAAGTCTTCTTTCTATGGACATACAGACAAAATCGGAGGGACAGCATACAGGACCCCAAGACCCTTGAATGTAAAAGATGACGTAGTGTGTGTTCAACACAGAGGCCTGCCTATATACAGACACAGTGCTGGATACACTAACAAAATAACAGGACACACAAAACTGGCTGAACACGTGATAGAAAATTGGGCCACCAAAATGTAAGAATATGAGGAAAAATACAAATAGATAAAGGACACACAATTATACAGAATTATTGTGTGCACTGAATACACAATATACTTCTAACAGGCATACCTTCTCGGAGATACTGTGGGTTCAGTTCCAGACCACCGCAATAAAGCGAAGGTCACAATAAAGCAAGTCACACAAATGTTTTGGTTTCCCAGTGCGTATAAAAGTTATGTTTATACTGTAATCTGTTAAGTGTGCAATACATCTAAGTGTCTAAGAAAAACAATGTACATACCTTAATTTAAAAATACTTTATTGCTAAAAGATGCTAACCATCATCTGACAACGCAGGGTTGTCACGAACCTTCAATTTGTAAAAAAAAAAAAAATGTAGTATCGGGCTTCCCTGGTGGCGCAGTGGTTGAGAGTCTGCCTGCCGATACAGGGGACATGGGTTCGTGTCCCGGTCCGGGAAGATCCCACATGCCGTGGAGCGGCTGGGCCCGTGAGCCATGGCCGCTGAGCCTGCGCGTCTGGAGCCTGTGCTCCGCAACGGGAGAGGCCGCAACAGTGAGAGCAGCAAAAAAAAAAAAAAAAAAGTAGTATCTGTGAAGCGCAGCAAAGCGAAGTGCTATAAAACGAGGTATGCCTGTACTTATATCCGCACGATGCCAGGAACATGCATCATTTACAAGCACGCACATACAAAGCCCACCCGGGGACTTACCTTACCCATCCCAGAGTGTGCGTGCCCCATCTTCACAACCACAGGGTACGTTGTGCTGCTGAGCTGGTAGGGTGGAAAGGGAGAGCATGGTCAGGGCAGGAGGGCTGACAGCCATGGCTGGGGGTGGTGCTGAGGGGAGCCCATCCAGTGGGAGCCACACTGAGAGCGATTTTCCCAGAAGAGGTGGGTCAGAGACAGCCAGCCACCAGCTGGGGGTCACACAATACCCTGGAGCCCAGAATTGAACCCAGAGCCCTGCCTGCCTATCCCTCCCTCCACCACCCACAAGTCCCAGACTTCCTGCCTCTGCTTTCCTGGGAAGAGGCGTGGGATAGGGGTGGGGGACTTTTCCAGAAAAGGGAAAGTTTGTTTTTACAGTGAATGGATGACAGAGAAGTGAGTGTGTGCATGTGCGTGCGTGGGGGTGTAGTGGCGAGCATGTAGCAACTGGACCCCTCAGCCAGGCCTTGTGTGTGTCTCCTCCACACACATACACAACCCAGAGACACACAAACCCTCAGAACTCAGATCTACACAGCCAAACCCAGAGTTTCCCACACATGCTGAGACCCACGTGATGGAAAGATCCACCACCGACACCGGTTCCGGAGCATGCCTTGCTGTGTGGCTGCACGGAGACCCTCACAGCCAGCCAGCCAGCCCAGCAGCACACACTCAACACTCGTAGACACGCAATCAACACTTTTGGGCAGAGACATACACACAGCCCTCCTCCTCTCACCCAAATCCACGTAACAGAGGGACACACAACACGAAGGTTATCCATGCAACACAGAGACGAACAACCCTCAGAGGCATAGCCACAGAATGCAGAGGCACACACAACTCTGACAGGCACACACAACAGAAATGGGCACATATTCAGCACTGACAGATACACATGCAATGCTCCTAGGCATACACACAACAAACAGAAGGACCCACACCACATGGACAGGTATACACACTTCCAGGTATTCACACTTCTAGGTATTCACAAAACCACCGAGACCCACAACACAGAGACTCATACTCCTGGGCACACGCAAAGTGTATGTAGGGACGCACACACAAAAAACGTGCCTTGCCATATATACAGATGGAGAGGCGTGCACACGACCAGAGACACCCACAGCCTCCTAATTACATGGACAACACCCCGGGGTGTGTACATGCACACACACTCACATTCAGGCATGGGGATACCTCAAGTCTCCCCCAACCCTGGGAGGAGTAGAGGGGGCCTAGTTGGCCGACCCCAGCGCCACCATACACGGATGAACATGCAGGGCTTCACCCTCCCTCCTCTGTGCGGACAGGGGTGACAGGGTAGAAGATGGCATCCCCAGAGGGGCTGCTGGGGGCGGTGGTGGTTCTCAGTTCCCGACAGGCACAGGAAGCCTGCAGGGTCAGGGTGACCAATTGGCCTTCAGGCCTCACCCTCCCTCTGCACGCCCCCCCACCCTCCTCATTTCTCAAATGACTGGCGTCAGGATGGGGCGCTGAGAGGCACTGAGTTGTTACCGGGATGCTCTGATTAGCATTCCAGGGAAACCAGGCTGAAATGGCAGGTGACGTAACACAGGCACACACACAGCTCACAGAGGTGACAGCACATTCTCAATTCCATTCGCAGCCCAGACCTGTTTTACATGGGCAGGCACAACTCCAGAAGCAGCACAAAACATACTGGGTTTGGGACTTCCCCGGTGCCGCAGTGGTTAGTCATCCGCCTGCCAATGCAGGGGACATGGGTTCAAGCCCTGTTCCGGGAAGATCCCACATTGCCGCGGAGCAACTAAGCCCCGTGTGCCACAACTACTGAGCCCACGTGCCACAACTACTGAGCCCGTGTGCCACAACTACTGAGCCTGCGTCCACAACTACTGAAGCCCGTGCGCCTAGAGCCCATGCTCCGCAACAAGAGAAGCTACCACAATGAGAAGCCCCATGCACCGCAACGAAGTGTAGCCCCCGCTCGCTGCAACTAGAGAAAGCCCGCGCGCAGCAGCGAAGACCCAATGCAGCGAAAAATAATAAATAAATAATACAATTAAAAAAAAACACTAACAAAAAAACCATACTGGGCTCAGGTACACTCAAGTACACACACACACACACACCACAGAGGGGCACACACCACCTAAAGGCACACACGCAACCCTCAGAGGCAGAGACACAGCAGGAAACTGTGTGCAAGCACACATGCACACCGCCCCCCGCCCCAAGGTTTTTAGGCTCTTTTCACAAACCTTCCTTGTTTTCTCTGGACCTGAGCCTGAACACAACACTGTGTATATGTGTATGCGTGTGCCCACACATGTGTGCATGCAGTGAGCTCTGAATACTGGGATCCCCTGGCCAACCCGAGGTTTGAACCTTGGCCTCTCCTCTTCCTAAGGCCATGTTCAACCCCAGGCAGGTCACTTAACCCTCTCTGGGCCTCAGTTTCCTGATCTGTATAAAGGGTACAATCAGGCCCAAGCACTTGGTGTGTGTGGGGACTGCCAGGTGTCTGCTGTGCACACCCAGCTGGACCCCACGCCCCCCCAAACCCATCCAGCTCGCCAGGTGGCCATACAGCCGGACACCCATCCATGAAACCCCACCAGTTTCAAAACCTGCACAATAACCCGGGTCCACATAACCCCTCACATGTAGACAGTGGGCAAAACTCTGTGCTGACTCAGGTTTCAAAGTCATGATGCTGCAGCAGGACTTCCCCTTTGCACCCACCACCAACTTAGCCCCCGTCTCATTCACTCTCATTCCCCACTTTCACAATCAGCTTCTCCAGATTCCTGGTTTACTTCTCTTCCCCCTTACCTGGTCCTGCCCGCCCCCCCCAAAAGAGTCACTTCTTCACTCTCCTTCCTGGGGAGATCACTTGACCCCTTTGTGTATCTCATTTTCCTCATTGGTATAATGAGAACATGAACAGTCTCTAACTCACAGATGCTGTGAGGAACACATTAGTTATTTTGGGCAAAATGCTTAGCACAGTATCTGGCACACAGGAAGCCTCCATCCTCAAAAGGTGTTGGGTACTATTATTATTATTGGTTTAATATCCCTAGGTTAGCCAATATTAATTAACAAGGAGGTAATCGGGATTGACTGACAGATAAAGTACTTCCAAAGATTTTAGAGCTGTGTTTGATGCACAGTAATAGTAAGCACTTCATAGTACTGGCGGTAGTTTCTGTTGTGGTGGTAGTGTTGGTGGTGATGGTTGGGCTAACCACTCTGAGTTAATCAAGCTTAATTAGCAAGGGGGTAATGGGGATTGGATGAGAGAACTACACAAAGGCTTCAGGGCACAGTACACAGTAAGCGCTCCATAAGTGGCTCCTATCATCACTACCGTCATCATTATTATTATTGGCCTGTCCTCCCTGACCTAACCAAGGATGTTAATCGGCCCTCAGAGCCCTTTCCCAGGACCCCAGGGAAGATTCAGGCAGCATCTGGAAGCTGGTGGACAGAGATTGCCTCACGGCTGACCCCCACCAGGGGCGTGGGAGGGTTGGTGGGGAAGGGGCAGGGCAGGATGGGAGGGGATCAGTTTTCTACTGACTCACTGGCCTCTTTCACCACCATTCAACTCCCCCACCCCAATGCTCATTCATTCACCAGCAACCTCCCGGCTTGCCAGGACTGTGCCCAGCCTGGGTTAAGATCCTGGTGCCAGTTAGCCTAGGTTCAAATCCCAGCCATGCCCTGTGGTCCTGGGAAAGTTCTTCAATTCCTCTATGCCTCATCTGGGAAATGGGAATAATACCGATAACCATCTCAGAGGCTTATCGTAAGCTTTAAGTGAGATAAATTATGCCAAGTGCCGCCCGGTACACAGTTGGTGCTATATAAATGCGGACTATTTGCCTGTGTTTTGTTTTTTTTTTTGAGAAGGGGTAAGACCCAGGCTCTGGCTCCATCCAGGCCTCCTGAATTCCAATCCCAGTTCTGCCACTTATTAACTGTGACCTTGGATAAATCACTTAACCGCTCTGTGCCTCAGTTTCCCCACATTGTATCCTTCCTCCATTCACCTGCCCTATCTCCCTTCACTGCTTCTACTTGTTTGCTCTGCCGCTCACCGCCCCCCCCAAAACAGTAGGTGCACAAGAAATTCTTATTGAAGGAATGAACTAATTTGGGCTTTAGCCATGGGGATTTTCGGGAATGTGGGTGATCGGATAGATTTTGGAGTCTTTAGGGAATTGCACTGGGTGGAATCCGGCCTGTAAGCCCTCCGTGAGACCGCCTGGAGGGACTGGTGCCTGACGTGGAGATGGGGGAGGGGGATGGTCAGGGCGAGGCTCAGGGGGAGGGAGAGGAGGAGGGTGCATCTACTTTTCGGCAGCCCAGGGCCCGCCCCTTGGCCTCCACGGATGGTGGGCGGATGAGTAATGCATCCAGGAAGCCTGGAGGCCTGTGGTTTCCTACCAGCTGCCACCCCGCCCCTCGCTTGGATATTTATCCTCCGCTGCTCCGGCCCTGCCGCCATCGCCGAAGACCCAGCGCCCAGAGAGGCTACACCAGAGGTAGGCAGGGGCTTGGGCGGCCCGCAGGGCCTGGAACTGGGCTGGAGCTTTCCTGCCTGATGATACTCGGCTGCTCAGCCTGGCCAGCGGGTACCGGGAGCCTAGGCTGGTCCAGGGGAAGAGGGTGGGGGCCTGGAACTGCTCCCCCAATCCCGACACTCCAAATTCCTTTGAACCCTTGACATCCATCCTCAGCTCCCCGAAAGCCATGAGCCCCTAACATCAGATGCCTCCCAAGCTGCCAACTCCTCTAAATTCCCTCCCTGTCCCCCAGCAACCCAAACCCCTGATGCTCCCTAAACTCCCCCAGCCTCCCAAATCTCTAAACTCAAAGCTTCCTCTGAACCCAAATCCCTCAGACACTCCCACTCCCTTAAGCCCCCAAACTCCGTCAACTCCTTAAATCCCCAACCTCCTCCAAATTCCTCAACTTCCCTCAACTCCCCCACCTCTTCCACCTCTCAATATGCGCAACCCCCAAACTCCCAGCCTCCCCGAAAACTCCTCCAGCTCCCCAAA